TTCAAGTGGTAGAGCAAAAGAAGCTCAAAGACAGTGCTTAGACCCCGAGTTCAAGCCCCCAGGACTGGCTCCACAAACAACAAACAAAAAGCTGTTTGTATGGACATGGCTCAAACCACAGCGTGCATTTGAAAGGCCCTGGGTTCAAGCCATAGTAATTTTTTATTTTAATTTTATTTTTTACCAGTCCTGGGACTTGAACTCAGGGCCTGGGCACTGTCCCTGCGCTTCTTTTGCTCAAGGCTAGCATTCTACCACTTGTGCCACAGCTCTACTTCTGGCTTTTTTTGTTTATGTGGTACTAAGGAATCAAATCCAGGGCTTCATGCATGCTAGGCAAGCACTCTACCACTAAGCCACATTTCCAACCCTCAGTAATTTTTGTAAAGATTTTTTTTTTTTTTTTTTTTGTGGGTCGGTTGTGGGGCTTGAACTCTGGGCCTGGGCACTGTCCCTCAGCTCTTCAGCTCAAGGCTAGCCCTCTACCACTTGAGCCACAGCACCACCTCTGGTTTTCTGGTGGTTCATTGGACATAAAGAGTCTCACAGGCTTTCCTGCCTGGGCTGGCTTTGAACCGTGATCCTCAGATCTCAGCCTCCTGAGTAGCTAGGATGACAGGCGTGAACCTCCAGTGCCTAGCCTTTAAGAAGTATTTTTAAGTGTTGAAGCCACGTGGGGCTGTGGAGGCTCCTTGCCTTCCTCCCTTTTCAGACACTGGCAACTCCAAGGTCATTGCTGATCAGAGCTTGCAGAGCAGGTCAGAGGCTAGGAAAGTCCCTAAGAGAGTCCAGAGGTGGATTCAGAAGATTAGCAGGACTCTTAGCTCTCTGTGTGGTGTGGGGTCATGGGATGGAATGGGAGGGAATGAGCTGAGCTCTCTATGTACCTGGGAGGGAGAGCCTGGGGTGCAGTTGGGGGGGTGTGCTGGGGAGATGAGTTAAGCTGGGGGGGTGGTATAGATATGAGCCAAGGCTACAGGTGCTGCTTCTCCTAGTCACCTTTTAAGCCTTCATTTCTTAAATCAGACTGCTGTTTGGGACAAGCCAGTTGCCCCTCTGAGCTTCAGCTTCCCTCCCTGTGGAATGGGATGATCTTGGGATTACTGAGGCCAATGGAGACCTCTGGCAGGGTCTGGGCAGATGAGTGGGTTCACTTGCTCCCCTTCCCCGTTGCACCCGTGTGGTGTACTGAACACCCTCTACCTGCTGTGGCGCGGGTGGGATTCCCATGGGATCCAGAGGTGGAAGTCACATTTTTGTCAACACAGAGCAGCTCAGGAAGGCCAGCAGGCTGCCAGAGGCTTGCAGAGCCAGGGCTGAGAGCAACACAGATCTACCCAGCTGCTCAGGTGTCCCCAGGTGAGCGGGAAGATGGACCCCGGACCTAGGCAGTGAAGGAGCCATCTTCAGACCCTGTGTTCCTCCCCAGTATCAGAGAAGTGTCATACCTTACAAACCAGGCCAGGGGATTTGCTACCTGGCATGTGGCATCCTGGTTACAAATTGTTGAGCATTTGAAGTCAGCAGAGCAATTAACCAAATGTGGAGCTCTTTTGGCTACAGGGCCTGTGTAACTGCTCAGGTGCACACCCAGGACAGGTAAGAGCCTGGGCACGCCCTGCTCTGAATCTATGCCAGATATAGGGCTTTCTGACCTCTGGGCAAGATGGCTGCCCCGTGCCAAAGTCTCTCCTCTTATGACTGGAGGCCTAGCCATTCCGGGGGAGGAGGAGCAGGAAGCAGAGCCATCTGGGGACTGAGAACCCCATTCCCAGATGCAGCCCACTGCTACATTTTACTCCTCTTGCTGACCATGTCTGGGAGGGGGCCCCGGGTGCCCAGGCTGGCACAGAGTCAGCCCTCTCGTGCATATACGCACATAGGTACTTGTAGGCACCCACGCACAGGCACACGTACACACACACACACACACAGGTACACACCTAGTGCCGAACAGCTTGTGGGATAGGAACATCATTTTCCTTAAGCTGACTCATGTCTGATCTCTGAGTCTAACTCCAAATGACAGAAATAAATCAATCAGAGGTTTCCACAGCCAGGCTAACAAACGCCCTTCCAAATTCCATTCACATTAAAAACTGAGGCATACACACATATGTGTGCTTTCATGAATTCCTGGAGAAATGTGTCCGAGCACCTACCATGAGTCAGATCCTCCCCTGGGCTCCGTGGTCTCGGCGGCTAGTGACACAGTCTGCCTCTTGGTGTGTAGGCAACTCCACAGTGGGATCCCGGCTCTAGTGCAGGAGGCCAGCGGGGCACACCGCGCAGGTGACACATGCCCCTCACTAGCTGCTTGTTGATGAATGAGAATGGAAAACATTTTTCCAGCAATACCAACTGTTCGTGAATGATTAAACATCACTGAGCCCATACTTGATGCTCCTTCTTGTGTGCGTTTTAAAGGACATTATTTTATTATTTTGTTGAGTCCTCATGACAACCCAAACTAGGCATATTAGAATGTGTGCCAGCTCTGATGGCTCACACCTGCAATCCTAGCTACTCAGGAGACTAAAAATCTGAAGATCATAGTTCAACGCCATCCCAGGTAGGAAAGACCGTGAGACTCTTCTCTCCAATTAACCACCAAAAAGTTGGAAATGGAGCTGTGGCTCAAGTGGCAGAACTCCAGCTTTGAGTGAAAAAGCTCAGGGACAGTGTCCAAGCTCTCAGTTGAAGCCCAGGAACAGGAAAACAACAAAAACAAGGTTTGCTTCCAGATGGGTACTCAAGAAAGTTCACGAAGGTGCTTGGGTCACATAGCTGACACACTGCACCATTTGCATTGCTCTGCTTCCATCTTTGGGCCATGAGAATAAAAAACCAACAGGGGAGAGACAGGCATGATGGTTCACACATATAACCCCAGCACTTGGGAAACTGAATCCAGACGATCATGAGTTTGAGGCCAGCCTCATTATGGTATGAGGCCCTATTTCAAAAAGCAAGCAAGCAAACAAACAAATTCCAGGGCTAGGGTGTTGCCCAATGGTAGCTCAAGACCTTGGGCTCCATCCCCAGCACCACACAAACAAAACAAGAAACAAAACAAACAAAATTAAAACCCACAGAAGACAGATAGTGATGAGTGTCTACAATTGTCAGGTGCTGCTCCAGGCTCTGTGTACACACTACTGACTTACGTCTAGCCTGCGTTAAGGTGCTAAGATACAAATCTTGACTGCATAGCTAGAGAAAATGTCACAACTCAGCACCCTGGGTAACCAGCACCCAAACCAGGAAGCAGAATACCAACCAACTCCCCAGTCATACCCTCTACATCTGCTTCCTGGACCAGCTCTCTGCCCTGGAGATTAGTTGTCCTAACTCCTAACAGCAGCTACACACACTGGCCACCTTACAAATGTATTAGTATCCATGTTTTGTGTGTGTGTGTGTCTGATGTCTTTTGCACAAGGTCATTTGTGTGAGTCATTCATACTGTTGATGAAGTTGTCAACAATTGTCACTGTTGTCACTCCATCTAGTCAATGCATTATTTTTGTGTATCCTTTCCAGGCTGTTGCACACTCACAGTAGTTTCTAGCTTGAGGATACAGTGCAGCTATGAACAGAAGGTGATGCTACTTATGCCTCTAGGAGAGAAGTGCTGTGTGTGGCCAAACTGGGACTTGAAATCAGGGCTTGGACACTGTCCCTTAGCTTTTACCACTCAAAGCTAGTGTTCTACCACTTGAGTCACAGTTCTACTTCCAGCTTTTGGCTGGTTAATTGGAGATAAGCGTCTCACAGACTTTCCTGCCCAGGCTGGCTCTGAACTGCACTTTTCAGATCTCAGCCTCCGGAATAATTTAAGATTACAGGAGTGAGCCACTGCGGTCCCCTACCCTCCTCAAGCCCCTTCTAAGCAGACTTCCCAGGTGTCTGTGTTCCTGGCATCCTACCAGCAGAGAGAGTTCCCTGTCCAAGTCCTTGTCAACACTTGGGATTGTCAGGTTTCCCCTTTCAGGAGGCTATGCAGGGCAGTCTGAGATGCATCTTATGATTTCCGTTTTATAGGTCATCAGGGCTCTGAGAGATGAAGTAGTTTGTCCAGAGCCACTTACACCCTGGCAAGGGCTCAGGCGGGGATCTGAACAGGGCTGTGTGACCCCTGTCCATCAACCGTCCAACTCCCTTCCCCTACCTTTCCTAGGGATCAAAGCCATTCTGCACACGGGGAGAAACGGGACAGGAGGCTCCGCACCCCTGGGCACGGGTCTGTCCGGGAGGCTTGGGCCTGGCCCAGCGGCCGCGGGGCTGAGTGAGCCAGGCGTGTGGAAAAGGGAGCCAGGCAGGGGGAGGGTGGGGGGAGGTGGGGGCGGGGCCTGGGGAGTCGGGAAGTGTTTGCGGCACGGGGGGCGGGGCAGCAGGGGGCGGGGGCCGGAGGGGGGGTGTTGGCCGGGGGACCGGGTGTGGAGGAGGCGGACCTCCAGGAGGAGGGCTGCGGGAGTTTGGAGAGAGGTGGGGAGGGGGTGATGGGAGGGGCGGGACGGGCTGGCAGGCTGACGCTCCACCCACCAACAGGGACCCGCGGGCGTGATCTGGGGGGGCTCGGGTGCCCCACCAGCGCCGAGTAGGAAGGGGGGGGGACGCACGTCCCGGACGCCCCCGGGGGAGGGGCGGGGAGGAGGCGGGGTTTGCTCGGACGTGGGCGGGGCCTCTCGGGATGCGGCCAATCGGCGCGCGCGGCTCGGGCCCCGCCCCCGCGACCGCTGCATAGTCATGAGGCGCAGGCCGGCGCTGCGTCAGCGGAAGCGGCGCGGAGCGGCTGTTTCCGACCCGATAAAGCGGCGTTGTCCCCGCGCGCCGGCCGCAGCCTCGCAGCGCTCTCTCCGCGCCCGCGTCGCTGACTGACGGACCGTCCGCCCGGCCGGCCGCCGAGGGGCGCAGCCGCCGCCCGGACGCCCCGCCGCCGCCCCGGTGCGCCCGGGGCCCGCGCCCCCATCGCCCGCCCGCCCGCCGCCCGGCCGCCCCGCCGCCCCGCCGCCGCGCCCGCGGCCCCGGCCGGAGGAGACAGGTGAGCGGCCGCCGGGCCCCGCACCTGAGGGGCCCCGCACCCGGGCACCTGGCGCCCCCCCACGCCCCGCGCGGCCCGGGCCTCGAACTGGCGGCCCGCACGTCCCCCGGGGAGGGCTCCCCGGGTCTCCCCCGCCCGGGCCCCCGGGCCTGGCGCGGCTCCCCCCCCACGCCGGCCCCGGGCCTCCGGCCGCACCTGCCTTCCGCGTCCCGGCGCCCCTCTCCGTCCTGCCCCCGAGCCGGCCCGCCGCCTCCAACTTCGGAGAGTGGGGCCGCGGCGCCCCCCGCGCCCCTCGGCGGCCTCCCCCACCCGCCGGCCCCGAGGGGCCGGGGCTCCGTTCCAGGGAGTCCGTTTGAAGACGCCCGTCTTTCCCGTGGCCGTCCTTGTCCCCGCCGGGGCCGGGCGGTCGGCGCCGCGGGGTCCGGAGCCTCCGGTGCGGAGACGTCGCTGCGCGGTGGTCCGGACCTGAGCACGCCTGCCCCGCTCCGCCGCCCGCCGCCCGCCGCGGGCCTCCGGCCTAACCCTTTCCTCGCCAAGGTGCGCCGCGCGCGCGGCGGGGAGCGCGTTCCTGCCCTGCGAGGGCTCGGCCGGGCGGCCTGGGTGAGTGGGCCCGCAGCCTGCTCGTTCCTTCACCCTAATGCTCTGGAAGGGAGAAGGGGGCACCGGGTCTCGAGGGAGGCTGGGACTTGGGTCTTCCCGGTGGGGTCTCGGCTGGAGTGCCGCTTCCAGGTTCCAGGACTGAGCCCCGCCCCCCATCTGGTCCCTCTGGCCGCTCCTTGAGATTGGGGTGGTCCTGAGAAGCAGCAGGGCTTCCGGGGTGAGCAGTTACTGACCGGTCGAGTGACCATCGCGGGTCCCGAGACCCCGGCAATTGGGGAGCAAGCCCCCTCACTGGCTGTGTCCCAGCTCCGCAGGAGTGCCAGCGCTCTTCCCTGCGCTGTCTCCGCGCTTGTGGGGTGCGGTAGGAAGCTTTCCCTCGCCTATCTTGTTCTTGTAGTGGGAAAAGTAGAGCATAGAAGCTGGAGCCCCGGGCAGCAAAGTCCTTGAGACTCTCATCTCCGATGAACCGCCGGAAAACCAGCAGTGGAGCTGTGGCAAAGTGATAGAGCACTAGCCTTGAGCAAAAAGAGCTCAGGGACAGCGCCCAGGCCCTGAGTTCAAGCCCCACGACCGTCCTCTCCGCCCTCCCCCACTGCCCGCCCCCCAAAAAAGCTGAGGGACTGCTTTATGAATTAAGAAGTATGACAAATGGACATCGGAGGACACACACCAGCCTTGAATGATTTTCTCACATTATCTACTAGGTCTCAATTATGTATTAAATTAGAGTGAGTAGAGTTTAACATTCTGGAGAGATTTTGTAGAAGCCCCAGAATGGAGAGCCGTGCCAGTTGTGGCCTGAAGCCATGTGGGCACCAGGTGGAAGGAGACTGGCATAACTAATCAAGTGCTTCCGGGGAAAGAGGTCATCCTCTTAAAATCCAGAACTTTCGGTCCCATTCCGGCTGATTGTTTTTGTGGCTGCCGGTTTGCAAGTCTTGAGCAGTATTTTGGTGTGAGGAGGTTGGTTTGTCTGGCTTGTGCCTCTGGTGGGAAGAGGGCAGCTGTCCAGGGCCAGCTCCCTGGGCCCTGGAGATTTGTTTGCGGAGATGCTGTGCCTGCAGCTTTGGCTTGGGTTGCATAGTAAGAGCACATCAGAGATTGGACTGGGTGATCTCCAAGGTAGCTTGCGCGTTTCACACCCTCTAACTTGCTCATTGGCGGGGAGGAAAAGGGGGAGGGGCCGAGGAGAGCAGTAAACCAGTTTCTGCCCTTTCTGGAGCAGGGAGATCCCGCCTCCGTGCGGATCTGCAAGGGGGGGTGGGGCAGCGGCTGTGACAGAGGCAGCGACAGCAGCGGCTCTCCCATCCCTCATGGAAGAAGGAAGCCTGGCAAGGTAGTTGGACCAACATTTACATCTCTAGGTGCCGAATTGCCTTCATCCATGGTGTCAGGAGTGCAGGTGGGGAGGACCAGGGAGGGACAGTATTGAGGTTCTGGCTGCTGCCATCTTCATTTTCTGACAGGCGCACCCACCCTCCCTTGCCCTCTCCCACAGCCCAAGAACCCTGATGACTAGCTCTGGGTAGCCAGCAGCGGTCATTTGTGACAGCCTCCTGCCTGGCACAGGGTGAGGGCTACTGGTAAGCCCTGTAGGTGACGACAGCCCCCAAATTGCCAGTGCCCTTGGGAGGGAACACGCTGGCAGAGCTGTGCCTGTAATTTGTGGAGCCAGAACATGCTAGAAGTCATGCTCCTGTTAAGGATGGGTAAAGACACTGCTCTGTGTTGGCCTCCTGTGGTTCCTTGGATTTTTTTTTTATCTCACCTAATTACGTCGGTGAGGATGCACTAAGACACCATTAGAGGGGCTCCTAGACTGCAAGCCAGGAGCTGAGGGAAACCCCAGGGCAAGAACAAACCTCGCTGCGCTGCGGAAGAGCAGCCACCTGGGGGGTGGAGGACCCGCAGGCAGGCGTCTGCCCCGCTGATGTGCACCTCCCCCATGCGCTCCCAGACAAATGCCCCTTGTCTGGATTAGCAGAGCTGCTCCACCAAAATCAATGAACAAGGAGCTTTTAAGATGTGGGCTTCTAAGACCTGCTCAGCGTGGCCCTTTTTCTCAGTATCAGATTCTGAGCCCTTCCAAGTTGGGCACACATGGGAAGAACCTGGAGAGTCCTGGGCTTCTGAAAGGCTGCCCTGCCCAGAAACAAGACTATGTGCACCCATCCCTAGGCACCACCAAGCCCCGAGCCTTGGGGGTAGAAGCCTGTAATGTTCCTAGAGTGGCTTCCGTGGCGTAACTTAACAGGTGGCACTTAAATGAGATGAAAGCCTGCCGGGGAGATGGGGGCAGGAGGATAGCTTGTTTAAGGCCAGCCTGGGCTACGTTGAAAGATTGTCAAAAAAATTTCCCTCCAAAAGAAAATGAGACTTGTGGTGGGGGATGGGGCAGCAGTGTCCCCTGTTGGTGTTTTCCTCTTGTACTTGCCTTCTCAGGAGATCCTGAGCAGTAGTGTGGGCCCGACCGCTTCGTACTGCTTGCAGGGTTTAGGGGTTAAGGCACAGAACACTTGGATCCTTGAATGCCCAGCTCAAATGAGGTCCACTGCTTGGTTTTGGAGAGAGGTAGTAGGAAACATCACAGACCCGAGGTTAGGGAGACAGGCGTGAGTTCCGTTTAGCTCAGCTGCTGTGTGGCTTTGAGTCCTTCAGTGAGAAAGAGGGGTTTCTTGCTTCTCTCTCAGTACGGGAGTTTGAACTCAGGGCCTGCATTTATTACACAAGTGTTCCACCACTTCAGCTGTGCTCCCAGCCCTTTTCGCGTATTTTTCAGGTGGAGTTTTGTGTTTTTGGCCTGGGCAGCCTTTGCTCTGGTCTTCAGTCTTCCTACCTACCTACGGTGCCTCTGTAGCGGGAATTACCAGGCATTCATCATTGTGGCTGGATTGTTTTCTGAGATAAAGTCTCACCTATTACACATTTCTGCCTCTTTCATAGCTGGGATTTGAGTTTCACTTTCTTACCTAGTAAGAGCTCCAAAACATGGGTTTACTGTGAGGGAGGGAGTCTTAGGGAGCTGCCAGGAGGGTGCATTTTGTGCTGAGCATTGCCGCGCCCCATGGCAGGAGTCCAAGGGTGCCAATCAGTCCAGCGTGGGGACCTGGAATCCTGTGCACCCTTCTGAGGCCTTAAGTTTGACCAGACCCTAACCCTACTGTCAGGGAGACCTTGCTGAGACCAGACCCTGCTGTTTCCATCATCCTAGACCTGTGTGTGTGTGGGGGGGGGGGGTGCTGGCAGTGAGAAAGCTGCATTCCTGAACCCCAGCCCAGCCCAGGAGTTGGGGAGGGAAAGCACTTTGCATCCTGGGGTTCAACTGCTATAAGAATTTTGTGTGTGTTTGTGTTTGGTCGTGGGGCCTGAACTCTGGGCCTGGGCGCTGTCCCTCAGCTCTTCAGCTCAAGGCTAGCGCTCTACCACTTGAGCCACAGTGCCACTTCTGGCTTTTTTCTTTTTGCTTATGTGGTGCTGAGGAATCGAACCCAGGGCCTCATGCATGCAAGGCAAGCACTCTACCACTGAGCCACCTTCCTAGCCCCTGCTATTTGAATTTTGTGGCTTGGGTCTCCCATGTTCAGCCTCTGAACCCTGAGCCACTTGAGTTGGTAGGCAAGCACATCTTCCCTGTTTCAAAGGGAAACCTCGAATGCGAACTATGTAGCAAACCCTGCAGTAGAGGATGGGGAGACATGGAGATATTTTCCTGGGTGCTTGGTCTGATGTTGTGGTCACAAATCTCAATGCATATTCTAAGCAATCACTTAGATGTTGTAAGCCAAAAAAAAAAAGGCACTGGTAGTAAGCTCTTTCTTATAGCTGTCATTTTGGGGAAATGTATTAATTCAGAAGGATGTGATTGCTTTGTATTGGAAAGGGAATCTTTCCCCTCAGTTTGTTTTTCTGGTTGGGGGTTGGGATAAACTTGTACATGGTGAACGTGTGCTCTACCGCTGGGCTACACCTGTAAGCCTCTGTCTGTCTTTTTTGAATTTGAAGGTGAAGATAAAATCACTTTTCAGAAATGTGTTAGACATAAGGGGAGGACTAGCTGAGGGCCAGAAGGGGCAGCTCTTATCAATGACAAGCCATTTTTCTGAACTGAATTAGCATAGCCTTAGTGGGTTAAATAGGAAAGCTCTAGAGTTAGTCTGTTATGGCTTCACAGTATTTTTGGCTCATGTGTTCCATAAAGTCACTTGGAAGCACTCTAGGCATATTGAAAGTTGTGGGCACATTCAGTCTTTTCGTCCTAATTGTAAGTAACTGTGCAGATTTAATTTCTAGCTGGTCACCTGTAATCCCAACTGTTCAGGAGGCTGAGATCTGAGAACTGTGGTTTGGAACCAGCCTGGACAGAAAAGTGCTTGAGACTCCTTTGTATTCAATTAACAAGC